CGCATCCAAGATATTGTCCACTTTGACGCTAAAAAGAAGGCCTAAGTCACTTTTTCCTTTTAGTCATGACTAAGGGACTAGTTCTGATATATCTAAAAAAATTCTACATCATTTAAAAATTAAGCCTAAGAATAATTTATAAACATCTTTCTTTCTTAATTCATTAAAAACACCTTTTTAAAGATAAAATCATAAAGACCTAACCAATGTCAAAACGAAAAATATCTTGGATGCTATCACAACGAACTTTCATTCTCAATCCTCAATTAAATGATAAATTCTAGGGGACTCGTTTTTGTAAGGGCATCTTCAATGGAAGTAACTCATTTGAGTTGCTTCATGCATTGAAAAATGAAATAAGTGGTCCCTAATGTGCCATGTCAACATTAAGTAACTCAAACACAAATTTACTCCAATGGTAAGAAACTTTAAGAAATTCAACTTTTAGAATTTTTTTCTAATCATTTATGAACCAAATTTAAATTTTTTATCAAAAATGATAATTGCACTACAATGAAAGAAAATAAATTACGAGAAAAAATACACAATAAGTAGATATTAAAAATAAAATAAAGCAATAGTAAATACATAAACACTATACGAAATTAATTTTCATCATTATTATTTCTGAAACGTTCCCAAATATGTTCAATAAAATCTGCTTGAAATCAACCCCAAGCGTGTGGTTCAGCGGTAGGGGTTGATCCACGCTTAAGCAAGGTCAGGGGTTCGAATCCTGCCTTGTGTATGCAGTCGCGTTAAATCTTGGGGCCAGCTATCCCACCCTTTGAGGTGCCTCCAACGTAGCGAGGAGATTAGTCACTGCTATCTGCTTGAAATCTTATACGGAACAGTTGCTTGAGGAAGCAACTCTCTCTCTTCTTCAAGCAACTCATATTGTCACGTCAGAGTCCTCCAATAACAAGAAACCGAGGATTGAGTCGCTTTATGGGACTAGCAACTCCCATTAAAGTTGCTCTAAGTTACAACTATTTGCAATGTTTGTGTCAGAACTCAGAATTTGTTTCAGTTAGGAGAGTTTGAAGCAATGGTTTGTAAATTTATGTTATTAGGTTGAACAGTTAAAAAAAAGACTTCATATGATGTATCCGTAAACAAATATATTTATCTTGAATTTACTTTGTAATTTTTTGCTTATACACATATTAAAATACATCTTAAAATAAATAATAAAAGTAATAGTAAAATGCTGTCTCATTTTGTTGTTCATAATCATATTTTTCTTTTATCTATTTTACTTCCTTTCAATGTTAATTAGCACCACGAATCAAGGTAATGTTCTGGCATCTATTTAGAATAACGAATCAAATCGAGTCGAAAATAGCTTAAAATTTAATTTAATAATTAATTTATTAAAATTTAATTTATAAATTAAATAAATTAAACATTAACTAAACATTGATAAATAAATGATTTAAATTTAAGATATATAATCTGACTTATTTGATTTATGAATTAACTCAATATATAAATATATAATTTATATAATTAATTTTTTATTTAGTTTTAATTTATTAAAATTTGAAAAATCTTTAAAACTTAGTTGTAAATTAATAATGATATAAGAAGTGGACACCTTAAGGTTTCATAGATATAGAATAGATTTTCTATTATTTTACATAAGGTGAATATTTGGATACAAATTTAAAAACGGTTTTGAGAACTTTTTTTACTATAAAATACTCTATATTTACGATAGATAAATTCTTAGATGCGCTTATAATTTGTATCTAAATAGATTCTATACAGGCTTTGGTTATAATTATTTTTTGGGATCATACAATGTAACCTAGCAAAGCTAATAAAATAATTTTTTAAAATTTTTTTTAAATAATTATTTTATCTAAAATCTATTACTAAATTAAATTTTTTAAATAAACTTAAATATGTTTTTAGTCCTTAAATTTAAGATAAATTTGTTTTTAGTTCCTTAAATTTAAAATTGATTTTTTAGTTCTTGTAATTTCAAAATTTCTTATTTTAGTTCTTATATTTAAATTTTGTTAGAAAACCTGTTAGATATTTTGTATTAAATTTACCTACTAACATTTTTATTAATGAAAACATCACATTAAACCCAACTGATAATGCATAATTGCTTCAATTGTATTAAATTTACCTACTAACATTTTTATTAATGAAAACATCACATTAAACCTAACTGATAATGCATAATTGCTTCAATTTGTCACTTTTAGATATATATATTGTGTGTGTGTGTGCGCGTGTGCGTGTGCGTGTGCGTGTGCGTGTGGCTGTGTGTGTGTGTGCGTGCGTGTGTGTGCATGTGTGTGTGTGCGTGTGTGTGGGTGTGGGTGTGTGTGTGTGTGTGCGTGTGCGTGTGCGTGTGCGTGTGCATCTCTCTGTGTGTGTCTGTGTCTGTGTCTGTGTAATTGGTGACTTAAGAGACTACAATAACATTTTTAAAAACTATATGATTAAAAACAATAAATTTATATTTGAGAGACTAAAAATAAATTTATCATAAATTTGAGAGATAAAATATATTTAAATCTTTTGAAATATGTAGGATTCAAAAATTTGAACCATTGGTTCATATGATTCAAACTAATAACCTAAATTGAGTTATTCTCAAATTTAAATCGTTAAATTGAAAAAATAAAAACAATTATGTTGAACTTGAGTCCATTTTCAAGTTGAGTTAATTATTATTGAATTAAGTTAAACCAAACTTGATTCATATCGATTTATTTTCATCTTTACTCAAAATATTTCAATAATTTTTATGATGGAAATTAATGTGATTACATTTCACAAAAATGAATCAATGATTCATTTGAGAATGTTCTAAAATCTAATAATCTATGAACTTTTTGTAACGAGTCCAAAAAACTTAAGATATTTTGGATTCACATCATTTTTTGTTGAAGGTGAACCGATGAAAGTAATAATTAGTTGCTTTTACATCAATTTTGATGTGATTCTTAATTAAACATAAATATTGGATGCAAAATCAAATTTGCACTTAATATGTAACAAATGTAATTAAACTTTAATTTAACAAACTTTTGTTGAGAAGATCAGTGATATATATATATTATATGACTTTTTTTTTTTTTACAATGAAACAATTTTATTCAAGCCAAACACAATTATTATGATACAAAATTCTTTTTCTAAATACTTAATATAATCGCATCTCTCTAAAATTTGATCAAAATAATTGATTTAGTTAAAACAACTCTATGACGAGTAATCCAGTCACAAGCGAAAACGTTTAGGTTTTTTTCAACTCTATAACTGCATTATATTTGTGGTATTTTGCCCTATTTGTCAGCTTCATGTATAAGGAGAAATAGGAGTTGCAAAGGAATTTCTGGTCCTTCAATTGTATTTTTTTTTTCAAGGATTTTACTAGGCTTTAGCCAGTAAGATCTGTATGACATTTTACTTAATTTTCAGACAAATTGACAAAGCTATGACAGCAATAACATCATAAATCACTGCCAATGTATTACCATTTTGCAAATACATAAGCTATGTCTCCTCTTGTTCTTGAAACTTCAGTGGGTCAGAGAACGTTGCAGTGAGTCAAAAGATGAAAACTAATAACAAGTTAAAATACATAACAAGACAAAGGCATGTCCCTGTCTTTGTTGTTTATAATCTGAATTCTGTATCTTTGTGTAGACAAAGAAAGTGATTATGGGAACCCGGTTTTCCTTTTGAGGGCTCGAGGAATAAATAGGATAATACTTCCAAACCAAAGGTTGTTTTGGAATTTAGATGCCCCTCTTCACTTCTCTTGGTCTTTCTTCTTTCTCTCATTTAAGTCAGATATAAAATTTATTTGAAAAAACGTCTAAGAGAATAAAATAAAATAATTATTTTACAAGTTAAAATTAATTTATATATAAATTAACAATATGTTTTGGAAAAGTTAACATGAGAGAATTTATATAAATTAACTTGTAGAAAAATTAGTTCATTTTTATGTTTTTAGTCCCTATTTTTCATGTGATCATTTTTAACTACTTTTTATTTATTAAAATGTTAAGTGACTATTATCCACAACTATTTGCATTATCATGTTGGTATTTAACATCTTTAAAAAATTATCTAAATCCTTAAAATAAATGTTATTTATCTAGTTAAAATAGTTGTTAGAGACTAAAAATAATGAATTTAAATTTTAAGGAGATAAAAATTAAAGAAAAATATTTTACATGAATCAAAATCAAAATTTTCTTATTTTAAAATGTTTATAAATATTAGAACAATAAAAAAATGCATAACTTTTTTTTTTACAGAAATTAAATCAAAATTCACTTATTTTATAAAGACTAAAAACAGATATATATTTTTTCTATTTTCTTCTCTCATAAAGTGTTTAGAAAAATTTGTCCAAATAAATTTATAAACTATCCTTCTATACCAAACAAATAAACATATGAGAATAAAATAAAGCCTGCACCATGTTGAATTTGAGGCAATGTACATATTGATCTTAGGTTTTCCACAACCCCATGTGGGCATGAAAAAAGATGTTTTGTAAAAAAATTCTTGCGTTTTAACTATGTCACACAGTGTGCAACAAAACCGTGCTGTATCCTACTGGAGAGGAAAAAATGGCAGTTCCATGATCTTGAATGTAACTATCGATAATAAAATTTCCATATATAATGTGAACACGAATAAAGCTACCTTGTCAGAAAAAACACAAACATTTTAACGTCAAAGTACAAAGATAATGTTGCAGACAGAGTCACTTCGTAGAATAACTGCAGATAATTCATTCAATATTTTGTACAAACAAATGATTGAGTAATATATGTATCAACCGTGTAAATAGTTAATGATTAAAAAAAAACCGTGTACAAACAAATAATTAACTGACTAAGTAATATATTTTTTATGACCCAAGATTGACCCTGAAATCATTAAAATCAAGAAAATCCTTTGTTATAGGGGACATTCCTTCAATGGACGTATGCTATTTCGGTCCTGTTACCTGTATATTGAGCATTAAATTAGGAAGTATGGATTTAATAGGCGAAACTGAGAGAAGTTTTGTTGCATACAGCAGCATAAACTTGAATTATTCAATTCTGGTACAACATTCTAATAACAATTTAGGGACCTTCTTTTATTGGAGAAATAATTTTACATATTAATGACAACTTAGGAACCTTCAACCTCCAATTGATAATATGGAGACTCATCCAGTTCCTGAATTGTCCCATCTACACCACAAACTTGTATTATAAATTTGAGACTAGAAGTGTCTGAAGGAATATCGAGGTCAGAAACATAAAAACAGTTTACTTCTGCTACTCCGAGGTACTCCTTCACATCCTCAAATGTTGTACGTGCTTGTTTTGATAATTTCACCAAGTACAAGTTGTATTTTAGAAATAGATAATTATTTCCATTTTTCAGTTCCCAAGAAATTTTAACATCAAGGGTCTTTGAACCCAGAGGGTCTGATGTCCATTTTATGCAGCTACCTTCAACTTGCCAAGAAGAAGACATAGGAAAATCTGACTTATAGTCAGAAGTCTTCATTGTGATATGACCAAGAAGTGCAAAATAATTTGATGGGGGAGCCAGAGTTTCATCATTGCCAGTTGATCTGTGTTGATATCGTATTTCATTGAATGGTGAATCTGATCTATAGCACACTGCATGTATTTCTGATAAAGTGTATCCATTCATTGCAACTACACCTTCATTTATAACCCAACCAGAGGATAATCCCTTGTGTTCACGAGTCATGATTACTTTGCTGAAATTGCTTGAGAAATGATTCACTGCATGGGATGTGAGAAGTATAGACGCTCTTTGGTTGCTGGTAGAAGTGAACTCGAGCTTAAGTCCCAATGAAGAATTGCCATCTGATTTAACCTGCATTAGTTATTAACTTAACGTGTGAAAGAGGGATCAGTTAGGGATATAGTACATAGATAATCATTTCAATGAATTTGACTGAATGTAGATTATATATTATACCATTGATCAAGATAAGACAACCTAATTAATCAGGTTCAGTTCCTATAGGGGGACTAATTGATTTGTACTAAGAATTGAATTAGACTGCTGCATTGGCAGCTATTCCGGGTAATATGAGTAATGGCATTCTTTAAACCAAGGATAAAAGATTGACGTGAAGTTTTTTTTTTTCAGCAATAATGATAAAGATGTTATAGCTTACAGAATAAATGAAGTGGATAGGCAACTCGCTCAAAAGAAACTCTCCTTGAAAGATTTTCCTCTCAAAGTAAGTTTGATCTTCAAGAGATCCTCTGAATGTAATGTTTCCCCCTCCATTATATGATGCTTCCTTCAAGCTGCCATTCAAAGCAATATAATAAATACTTTAGATCATCTTAGGACTAGCATTGAAATGTGGTAATTCGATATCTCGTGTTAAAATGGAAGAATAGAAAAGAAAGGAGACATTCAATATTATGCAAGGTTTTAGTATTATAGAAAAGTATATAAACATACAAAGTAACTTCAGGTTTCACCGAGTAATGATAAAGAAGTTTAAGGGGATGGGAAAATAATTTAAGATTAATAATAAGTCGTACTTCTAGCTAAGATAAATCTTAAATCATGAAGCAAAAAGTTTCTACAAAAAATTTTATTCTCACACAGTCTCATTTCACACATGAATTGTTCAGTGTAGCCAAACGCTGTTATAGACTATTTACTTTAAACAAACGCAATATGTGATATGCACATTTTGTCACACTTCTCAGTTACAGGAACATTATAAAATATTAGATATGTATCATCACTTACTCTACAGAAACTTGAATAGAATTTGTAGGATCAGCAGACCCAAGGAGTGGCTGCACACAAATATTTGAGTTAGATTACAATAAATCTCTTAAACCAGTATGACAAATCTACAATGTTACACTGTATGTGATTTTCCATTATCATAGCGATAGCGATGTTATTTAAAATTAGCCCTAATTGTAGAAATGGCAAAATAGGAATTCCAAAAAAGAGCATATAATCTCTTCTAGGTCATCTATCCAACTATCTATGGTAAATGGTTGAGCCAACAATAAGAAAGAATGATTATCAGGCGCATTACACATACCTGAAAGCCTTGGCAAGACATGTTGCACCAGCTAGCATCTGATACATTGTCACCATCAACTGAAATATGATAACCACGTCCCTGAAAGTAATAAAGATATGATATATTTGAAAAATAGAATGGCAACATTTGAAAAGGTTATGCAAGTATTTGATCAAAAGTGAGATTGCTCAGAAGGGATATTGTTGAGGTTATTCATTTTTTGTAGAAGATTGCTAAGGTCTTGTTTAGGCTTGTAACTTGTAAGATATCCTGCCGAAAATTATTTCTTTGATGGAAGGTTCGATGCTAGATTTTGTGTTGTTCACCTCTACCTTGCCAGTTTCATGTGCACTGAGCTAAAGTTTGTTTTTATGGATATAAAATTTTTCAGTCTACCCACCATTTGCCTTTTGCAGTTCACAAATTATTCTTAGAATCACTTTCACTGAAATTAAATTAAAAATAAGTCCTATTGAATTAAATGTGCAAAAAATATCTTCAAAGTTTTATTAGAATGTACAGAAAAAGCAGGTGCCAAATGTACAATGGAAAAAGAAAAAAAAAACATGGTAGACAAGGGAAGAAAAACTATAAAAGGGGACAAGAGTTGCTGTTGTTAACCTGATCAAAATTAGTGTAGAATGGTAGTACTCCAGGAAATTTTTGCGGTACTCCCCATGACTTTTCCACAAGACCCCACCAACTGCAATATAATATATGGCAATAAAGCTGGTATCCATGAGTAAAAAAAATTAAGGTTCAATCTCCATCATTAATATAAAAATAGACTTTGACCATGTAACTCACACCCACCATCATAACACATTTGAAAATGCATTTTAGAATTTCTTTGGCAACACGATCTATAGGATAAAAAAATCAAGTTTCTTAAATATTTATGCTTTTACAAATATTGCAAGAGGAGTGCTAGCAACACACTGCTCCTAACACATTTACTCTCATTTGTTAGAATTTATTGAAAACTACAAAATCAGAGGAAAGATTCATTAAATAGGGTATGAGAACCACCAAATTTTGTGCTTTCCTATAAATTTCAACCAATTAGAAAGAGT